ATTTTTCAAGTTAGTTGCGGTTATTTTAAATTTCATACCCACTCCTTCCTTCCCCTGATCCTTTTTCTTATCCGTTTTTTCCACATAAAAAGGAATAGACAAATAGAAAAATAAATAAATAAACAAATGAAAATAAAAAAGAAGCACAAATAGTTGTTGTTTTTGTTCAGTTTGCTGCTTATTTCGCTTGAACTTACGAAAGTATAGTCACAAGTAACGAAGTATACAAACAAATACTCAAATAAACAAACACACACACGCAGACACACACAAATACAAACCCTAACAAGTAAAATAGCCAAATTAGAGAGGTAAAAATTAAGCTTGAATTCCATGTTTCCAAGACAGTTTATTCAATAACGATAACAACTTTCAACCATACCAATCTCCACAAAAATTCACCTAATTACGAATAGCGCAGTAAACCTTCAAATATAATTAAAACAAAATAAAAAAAGATATAGGTAACTGAAGAAACTACGCACTCTTTTCCCTCTACTACTTCTTATTTTCGAGACATCTCTTCAGGTACAGCCGCTAACAATTAGTGGCCTACTAAGACCCAAGAAAAGAATGATTAATTTAAAAAGTTTCAATCAGTCCTCCAGAAGCAAAAAAAGTGCTTTAATTGCAAATCTGACATTAAAAAAAAACATCCTCCGACAATTTCTCCTCACTCTCCATCACCAGCAACAGCAACAAAAACCTTCGCAATAATAAATTTGTTATACCGTTTCAAAATAAAAAAGACTCTTTTCCAGAAAAAAAACTAAAAAATTAAAATAAAAATACTTCTAACTTTTATCATTTTACTTAATTTATCGCGAACCGATGCATATAGCAACCGTCTGCACAGCAATCATATTGTATAGCCTAAATAAATGAGAAAAAAATTTCAATCAAATAAATCGCCAATAAAAAAAATCTGTATGGAGCAGAAAAAGAGTGTTCTTCAAATTTTCACTATTAATCAACAAATTTGTTGGGCTAAAAAAATAATACGCTTTCAGTAAAAACCAAAATGCACTTAAAATTAAGACACATAAGACAACACTCGCACAAAAATACACACAAATAAACTATTCTAATAGACCTTAAAATTGCTTTGAAATTTTTTCCACCGTCATTTTCATTGTCAACTAAAAAAAGCGAAAACGAAAGAAAAAGCAGATAAACTAAACGAAAAGAATATCAAATCTTAAAACTATATCTAATAAATGTACAAAGTTTTGCGCTGATTAGAAGGAAGAAACGGGGAAATAAGGTAGAAAGGATATGATGCTATGAAAGAAGTCAAAAAGCAATAAGGATTTCCGGTATACCTGCAGTGTATAACATTGTCTAAAATAGTGTAGTGTTAAAAAGCACCAATTGAAACATTGGTGACATCTTCAGAACAGATATCATCTGCTGATCCTCCTTCCGGAACCTAAGTTCATTTGATTTTTGTGTTACAACTTCAATAAGGAAATTTAATTTTTTCTGCACTATTCCTTTTTTTTTTCTTTTCTTTTTCTTCCCACTTATTTATTGCTACGAATTGTTTAGAATGAAACAGTGCAACAGCCCAAACTGAAGAAAAAACGCACAAATACAGTTGTAAAGTAGATTTCAATACAGTGGAAAAAAAACAAACAGAAAGATAAAAAAAGCCAAGAAAAAAAAAGCCTATTTTATTTTTAGAAAAATTTAGTAGTTTGAAGAAAAGCTGTAGGCAAGGAAGAAAATAAACAAACAAATAGACAGAGAAAGAATATAGGCAAAAAGAAAAAAAATAGGAATTTTAAAAAGATGATGAAAAAAAAATTCAAACGGAAATGGTAAGTCAATGTTGGTCTTCGATGACAACAGAAAAGGAGCAAAAAAAAAAAAACAAATAAATAAACCAACAAACAACAAACACATAAAACAACAAAAAATAACAACAAGAACAAAAAAAAAACTTACCCAAATTAGCAAATTTGAAAGAAAGACAACTGATCGTAGAAGTGTTAAGCAAGTGGTGCCCATCAGTAATTTCTTATTTAATGCTTGCGCTCGATCCGAGTGGAAAATCGAAAAACTCTTTCTCTGTATGTGTGTGTGTGTGTGTGTGTCTGTGTCTGTGTCTGTGTCAGAGCCTTCCTCCAAAACAAAAAACCCTACACACAAGCACTACACAGATTTGTATGTGTTAAAACATCCACCAACAAATAGCAGCAGCCAAGCAAACATCACGTTCTTTGTTAGACACAAAAACACAGAGATGATAGGCAAACCAAACACACACA